TTCACTCTCTCTATTTTGTTCTTTTTGACTATCGGCCTATTTTTTATTCTCTCTATCTTCTTATATCCGACTAGCGGTCCAGCTTTCATTCTCTCTATCCTGTTCTATACAACTATCAATCTATTCATCATAATTTTTATCATTCTGTTTTTCTGTTGTTTTGCCTGTAGTTATATTTTTCTATTGCTAAGACAGTAGACAGATTGATTTATGACTTTGTTTACCATTAGCTTGTAACATGTTATTTCAGATAGAAATACAATACGAAGGAGTACCAACTGTATGAAAATTGGGCATAACAGGTTTTTAAGACCTGACCATATTCAATTTTTCTTCCTCTGTGTAATATAAGTTTTTAATTATGTAATTAAAGGTTCATTTAATTCATTCACTTCTGAGATTTGTTTTCCCTCACATAATTTTTTCCAGGTTTATTTGAGATGCAGATCAAGCAGGGCTCTGAATGGAACATACTTATAATGTTTATATTTTCTGAGTGTCAGGAAAAAAGGCTCACGTTAAAATTTGAAAAGGGTAGTTTAATCTTAATTGGCTCCAGTGAGCTCCAGGCACCCTTGTTTTCCACTCCCGTTGGCTTGAGAAATGCCTTCCTCCGTTAACGCTGCGTGCACGTCTCCTTCAAAGGCCATGGCAGTCCACGTTTACTTCCCTTCATAATGGATGAAATGTTCTAATGGAGTAGAATGCTCCACTTGTTGTTTTGGAGCTAGTTTGTGTTCCATCACCTTACATCAGAACTTCTTGAGGAGTACCCAGGTCTTCAGTCAAACATTTGCAAGCTCTGTTAGAACCAAAAACTGACTTAGAACTTATGTTTTGGACAGCAAACTAAAGCTTTCAATGAAACATTTATAGAAATGAACTTTGAATGTCTTTCCAGGAAATAAAACCTCTTTGGATCAATTTAAAAGGCTAAACTGACGTATGAAACCTACTGCAGGCTCTAAAAATAATTTTGCCATGGAACAGAACAGTAACATTCTCCTCTACGTAATATTGTACTATCACAGACTTTCATTGACGTATACCTACATGTAGTCAACAGAAAGTCTCTGCAGTGGTTAAACTTTCCCATATATATTCCGCAGACAGGCAGTGCAAACAAAACTCTGTCATGTTGTTACTGGGTCATTGAAATTTGACCATAATTGCAGTTTAATGACCACTGGAAAATCCATCATTTGTTGTATAGAGTATAAACAGAGCTACGCTAGTAACCATAAAGTAGAGTAGAATTGGTGTCCCAAATACACATTTTCCCTTTGACATGAATGCAAAAAATTTATTTTGGTCTGAAACTCTCAGTGGTGGACAATACTATGTTCAACTTATCTGTATTTAATAGAAAATGCAAGACTGTAAAACTGACTTGTTTTTCGCATAAAGTAAACGTGACCATACAAGGTCTCTGGATCTCAGGCTCTGTCACCATGCAGCATCTGTGGCATTTCAGAGAGTCAGGACTAAAATAAACCAGCAATGTAATCGTAGAGCAGGACAGATTTAAATCAGTCACGCGTGAAAGTAAAGGGTCCACTTTACATACAGTAGAATCGATGAAAGAAAAAACAAACCTTAGGTCAGGACATTTGTCTTGCCAGATTTTTGGACGCTTTGGGTTGTTTATTGAGTGTATTATCGTTTTGTTGGCCTTTGATCTCCAATGTTTTTTTTTTTTTTTCTGCTGCATTAACTTGAACACAGCATTTTATTTAGGGATGCACAATATTATGTTATTGCAGAGCTTGATAAATTGGTCTTGATTTTGCTTGAAATATATACTGAAAGCAATGCTGATATGCTTGGCAGCGATGATTTGTTGATTATGAGCCTGCAGTAACAGAATTGTCTAGAAGAGTGTTATCAGTAAGTTTTGGTCTACAATCTGCTCATTTACATGGTGAATTGTTACCTGCATGTTGATTTAAGATGACCTGTTTTGTATTGCTGATTTCAAACTGTGACTGTGAGTACAGATGAACTCTCTGCACAACAGCATCAGTGAGTTATTTATTAAGAGCCACTTGTGTTGAACGTTATGCAGTCTCTACTACATCAACAACCTCACCCAGCTACAGTTCTATTTAAAGGGCACCTGTTTTACCCCTTTTAGATACATTAGATTTAAGATACGCCTTTTGTGTCTCAATCAATTTTTGTGTCTATCAATTCGGTGGGCAGGGAAACTGCACTACTACGTCACGTTGTGGTGGGCCTCAAAATGGGAGGGATTTTCATCTTATTTTACGTTAGGAAATTTTTAAAAAAGACACTTGTTGTTTCTATCTTTACAATATGACTGTGGACACACTATACCTACACACAGTTATGTCCAAACAGCTTCAAAATGATTATTTTCATCATAGGTGCCCTTTAAGAAATAACTATATAAACTATTTAGAAAATAACTATATAACGAGTGTCTTGAATTAAAAAGATTTAATTTAGTCTTTATAAGTTACAGCTCTTTCGGAGTAAAAACACAAACCAGACACTTGTAAAAAACACACAAACAAAAACAGGTATTGGTTTTGGCCAAAGGGAGTTAAAATGTATAAGATATCTGCAAAGCTCCAATATTGCGCATGCCTAATTTATTTATTTTTTTACATATTTGTGTATTTTCTTGGAGATAATTGTCATAAATAAGGAAGTTTTATGCCGTTTACTGATGCTCTGTTTACATTTAATGTTTCTTTATTCCTGGTTTTCTGTTTTTTATGTTAATTTGATTTGTTCAGTGGTTAGTACTAGCCATAGCACGAAAACCGGTTTAGTTCGGTTTAGAAAAGTCAAAGTTTTAGAACAGCTAAGATTTTTTTTAATGTGTTTTTTATGTGTTGTAAAGAAATCTGGGTTTCTGAAACAATTAAGAGAGCAGAGGTCAATGATTTATTTTAATTCTTTAGCCCGACACATTTACTGTTCCAAAATATAATAAATGTTTAATGGAGAATATTTTTTTACCCAGTCATTTAAAAAGAACTTATTTAAGAGCAGTAATCACAAAACCATGCAACCATTGTATTTTTATCCAAGGTTATCATACTGTCTGAAACTTATACCAGCCCATGAATAGTTAACAGTCTCGCCTCAGGGCAAGAAGGTCGCTGGTTCGAGTCCTTGCTTGTTCTCCCCATGTTTGCATGGGTTTCCTCCGGTTTCCCCCACAGTCCAAAGACATGAGCTATAGGTGAAGGAAATTGAATGTATGAATGAACAATACGTGATATATATGATTCTTTTCTCACAATAAGTGACTAATATTAAAATGTTAACAAACATATATGCAAATTAAATTAATAACAACTATGGTGAAAAATCAGTGATACAAAGATAACAGAGTTGGTCATTGGATTTGGTTTGAATAACATTAAATGACACCGAACAAAAATACACATTTTAAAGTACACGTTATCCTTCTTCATGCCATTGGGTTTCTACATATTTTCCTGGCTCTCTGAGAAAAATAGTAATGTTTTATAACACTCTTTCCACATCTTTTGTTCAGCTCTATTTGTTAAGATGACTGTCTGCCAAAATGGTAGTGATTATTAAAAGATTAAAGTCTCATCCACAGTAAGGTTACGCAATCCCGCAGTTATCCACAGATTCTTCAACTTAAAGTGGCCAAAAGTAATTTTGCTGAATTGATTCTGTGAAATTAGATGCTCTTTTAATATTATTTATTTATTTATTTTGGATAAACTAAATCCATATGCGGCCCATCACAGATTTTAACTGAAATAGACAGAACACTTCAGTGGCACATGTGAAAAGTGCTGAAGGACATTTGTGAAATATTTAACCCAAACATATGATGTTATTTTTGACTTTTTTTCAATTGGAAGGCTTTTTCAGTGATTTTATTAGTTGCTGTTTGCATGAGGCACATCATCCCTTTACAGTCACCCTTCATAATCAAACTGAATTTTAGAAATATTCAAAAAACAGAAGGTGTTCTGAATGCTTTGAATCCACCCAACTGTAGTCTGCACATGACTACCGTTTCAAATTATGAGTTGCTCTTCATGTTTGAGGAACGTTCATTTAAGAGAACTGTTATGACTTCTTGATGTTAGACTAGGGACTGACGTAAGTAACATTTATATTGTAACATATATACTGTCATTTTTTTTCATTGTAAAATTATCACTTGTTTAATTCTAAAACTTTTTCATTTCTTTTTAAGTCCAAAGAGAGAAATGGACTTGCTTGTTTTTTATTAATATTTTGTGCTGTATTTGTTTATGGAGCAGCAATAAACAACACTTTAAAATGTAAGCGGTTTTCTTGTGATTTTTCTAAACTAGTAGTGTTTTAAATTTAATAAATGCATAATAATCGTGATAACCCTAAATACTATGATTACTCTTCAGGCTACATAATCGTACAACCAAAATCTATAATCGGTGTATCCCTAATTGTTACGCAGTTTAACACATACGAACGTGTCTTAATGTTAGAAGAAGCCTACTTAAGCAATAAACTGATTTTGTGCCTCGAAATACAACATTTGGATATACTTGTAAAAAAGCCACATTCTACAATGCAGTGATTTTATGTAGTTTCAAAATACAACATATTCATGTTTTAATGTAGAAAAAGTCAACGTGGGTGTCTTTATGAGCACAAATACAGCATATGGGCTCTTATATGTTGTTGTGTCATCACTTATATAGCAAGTCATATCTCTCTGGCCCCTCATTTGGAATGCTTTTCATGAACTGGCCCCCATGACAAACTAATTGAATAGCCCTGGTGAAGACATTCTTGCTTATAGTTTTTGGGTAGTTCGTAGTCTATACTGAAAGTAGTTTATAATAATGTTGAAAAGTTGCCTTTTATAATTTGATGGATGAACATTGTTATTTTAAAAGCACTTCACTGATTGTTTACAGTTTGAAACTGAAGTTTTTCCCTGAAAAACGTGAATGGCATCATACTAAACTCTTTTTTGTGTTGTGATTGGTTTGCAGGTGGCTGGAGGTGGGTGTCGGGAACCTGACCTGTACACCGTATTGGGTGGTGTACCTGCAGGTGCTGCAGGAGGCCATTTGGCCTGGAGGGAATCTGCCGGCTCAACCGCGACCACAGCGCAGCCAGCAGCAGAAAGAGCACAGCAGAAAGCAGGCTCTGCAGTGCCTTATGAAGCTCATGCCAGGTGAAATGACACATAATAAATGCACACATAATGGATTGGACACAAAGTGACGTTTAGCCAAGAGAAAATAATACTTTATTGCGCTTTATTCCAACAGATTGATGTAGATTTTCTAAGCATATATAAGTGTAGTTGTGCTTTTTTATATGCTCTCTGAATGAGGAAATTATTGCTTTTTAAGGAATGCATAGGGGGGGAGCACAATCGCCTCACAGCAAGAAGGTCACTGGTTCGAGCCCCGGCTGGGTCAGTTGGCATTTCTTTGTGGAGTTTGCATGTTCTCCCCATGTTTGTGTGGGTTTACTCCATTCGCTCCGGTTTTCCCCACAAGTCCAAAAACATGTGGTATAGGTGAATTGGATAAGCTAAATTCTCCGTAGTGTATGAGTGTGAATGAGTGAGTGAGTATGAATGTTTCCCAGTGATGGGTTGCAGCTAGAAGGGCATCTGCTACATAAAAACATATGCTGGATAAGTTGGCGGTTCATTCTGCTGTGATGACTCATGATTAATAAAGGGACTAAGCCGAAAAGAAAATGAATGAATGAATGAATATTTCACTGTTAAAAAAAGATTTTCTTAGTTTTTGTCCCTTTTCTAGTGCAATCTAGAAAATCTTTCTAGCAAAAAATATGGTCTTGTTTTCAGAAATAATATGTGAAAATTAAGTGAGGTTTTCTTAAAACAAGCAACAATCTTAATTATTTGTTATTTTATTAATTTACTATCTAGATGGAGATCAATAAACCGAACAAATCAAACTAAAGTGCACCAAATGAGGATTTTAACATTGTGCTCATTTGGAGTGTGAAGTCACATCAGGTTAAAATTGAATTATTGGGAAAAAAGTTTTTCCATATCTGTAAGGTTGGGTATACACAAATGTTTCTTTTACTTTGTTTTTGAAAATGTTAAAAACCACAAACATGAGCACAAAAGAAAATACCAGATTTCACTGTTTGGCTCCTGTAATGTGTTGATCACACATCAAAAGATCTTCGGACCAGAATTTGAACATAGAAAATCTCAAAAAAATCTGCCGAAACATGAGAATAAACATAGTGAACAAACACAATCTGTTGTCACTAATTGATGAGTTGATTCTCCATCTCTGCTGTCCAAATCCATTTGGCTTTTGATGGGTTCCCATTAGGGCTGTGCAATTAATCGAAAATCCGGTTTCGATTTCGGCTTCTAACGATTATAAAATAGCATTAATCTAGATAAAGGATTATTGCATCATATACCGCCCCCTTTCCAGTTGTACACATTAGTTGCTCTGCAAAGCTCAGTTCCATGTGAAAATGACAAAGCATGTACTGTAATGTAACTTTTGCAGCACGGGATGCGCATCATTCATATTTTTAAACACGCGAAAGAGCATATGCTCTGTGTGTGTGTGTGTGTGCGCCCACCGCGCTTAGCCTTGGACAGGCTCGGAGACGAGCAGAGCACACATATCTAACGCCATCTTAATGTGAGCGCTTTAAAGGTCAAATACATGCACATTTGTGTCAGCGCTGTGTTAAGTGATTTATATTAACCCTCATTTGTTTAATAAACAAACAAGTTGAGATTCAAAAGACATGTGAAAGAGAAACCATATCAGAGCCGCACTATTCTTAAAGTGACAGTGCGCAATATCCCTGCTGCCGCCTGTTTTTATCATTAATCAAACAATAAAAGGAGAAAAACCCTCACTACTCTTGACTGAAGGACTTTTTTAGCTAAAGTTTTTTTCTTACAGTGAAGATGCTTAAAGCACAGTTTAAACATAACAGATTTAATAACTCATTTCTAATATCTAATACTTATCTTTGCTATGATGAGAGTACTTAATATTTTACTAGATATTTTGCAAGACACTACTAATAAGCTTAAAGTGACATTTAAAGGCTTCATTAATGTAATTAGGCAAGTCATTGTATAACAGTAGTTTCTTCTGCAGACAATCAAACATATATATATATTGCGTAAAGGGGCTAATAATATTGAGCTATTAAAATAGGTTTCAAAATATTTAAACCTGCTTTTATTCTAGTCAAAATAAAACAAATAAGCCTTTCTCCAGAAGAAAAAATATGATAGGAAATACTGTGAAAAATTCCTCTGTTAAACATAATTTGGGAAATATTTATATATATAAAAATCACAAAAGGGCGAATAATTTTGACTTCAACTGATAATCGTTTTGAATAATCGTGATTACAATTATAACCAAAATAATCGTGATTATGATTTTTCCCATATTTGAGCAGCCCTAGCTCTCACATCAGGGCATTGTCGGAGGACAGTATTAGGATTGGGAAAAATGGGCTCTAAAATCAGCCTGATTACCCTATGGTATATGCCCAGCCGAAATAAAGCAAAACAAACAAACATTATTAATGTGTATTTTGATTCTACAATAAATCTTGTTAAATAAATACATTGAAGAGGATTTAGAACAGAAGATACGGTAAAAATAAAAGCAAACAACTAGTTGGTTTAGTTAAACCGAAAATAGTGCTTTGTGGGAATGTTGAATAAATATTTCCAACTTCAAATGCTTTTGTTTTTGAGCGAACGGTTACAGTTTGCTTGCTAATAATTGTATAATTCACCAAATGGCTGTTTAGTGACACAGTTGCTTCCAAGGTGAATCTGAGAATAAAAACCTAACAATACCATGAGATGCTCAGACGCTGTTCTTCATCAGTAGTGTGTGGAGTAGTACATCAAGCAAGTCTCCATCTCCATGCTCCTTGACTGAAGTTTGCTGAGTTTTATTGTGTGTTTTTACAGATCTGATCTCCGATATGCTCGGCTCTGAGAAGTACAAGGTTTTTTGGCAGACGGTTGTGGATTCTTTTCAGGACCCCACTGTAAACAGGTGTGTTTAAGCACTAAACACAGATGGAGATAAAAATCAGCACCACTTATGCACCACATTGTGCATTTATGAGGTTAAAAACATTGATTGGAAATTCCAAATTCCACGGAAATGTCAGCGTGTACGCTATAAAACAAATTGTCAGTTGCGTAAAAAACACAGTTGCGCAAGTAATATTTAAACAGCAATTGTCCATATGGTAATTCACAGGTGTTTTTCTGTTTAAAGGTGCTATATGTAAGTTTTTGACTCTTCTAAAGCATAAAAAGACTATTATATGTTTGCAGATATTAATGAAACATGCTAACTGAACATTCTTGTTTATATGAAAAACAATACTAAAGTCAGATATTCTGCTTTAAAAAAAATGCTTTGCGTGCTGGAATGCTGTCTTTGTTTTGGTCCCTTTTACCTCCCGATGCCAGTTTAGTCATTTATATTTCAGCACCACGAGTTGCCTTGGTGGAAAACAGCGCATTTCATTCATTCATTCAGTTTGGAAGGCTCTCAAAGTATGTTTCCACGTCCGAAAATACGAACTCCGGTGGACAGTAACAGACTCTGAAATGAGACACTGATTCAGAGTTCCACATGAGGTAGTTATTAATAAAAAAAAATATTTTTTGTGTCCAAACAACATGCTACGTGACGAGATATGCAGTAATAAGCAATTTGGCCGTTTGCACCAGACAAATTACAACCGAAATTTAAATACAGCTGTGCAGAAGCACAAAATAGTGCACTTACTGCACTCCAACGAAATGATAAGGTTTATAATCTAATTAATACATATTAAACCTCATTAACATTATTAAACATACACGCTGAATCAATGTTATGTGTTGGCTTGCACTGAGTCACAGTTCTAAAGTTTAATTTAAAACGGTTTATTTTATTTTCAAGATCTGTGGTGAACTTTCTGCTGCTGCTTTCAGTATATGGCAATGAATGCCATATAAAATGGCATTTAAACTGACATTGTTAGCATTTAACACTGAATCAAGCACATGAGGTGTACCTGAGGTGATCATTGTCTTAGTTCTGTTGTTCAGCTGCAAGAAATAGAAGCTGTTTCTAATATATACATTTCATTTGTTGGCTAGAACAAAATGAAATACCCTGTTCAATCACTGGGTGTCAAACTTACATACTGCACCCTTAATTATGCTCTCTGAATTGCATTATGGCAAGCTTGATCTTAGCTCTAACGTAAGTAACCTTTTATTAGTTTGATTTATTGCAGAAGCACATGATTTAGATCAGTGTTTCTCAACCACGTTTCTGGAGGTCCACCAGCACTGCATGTTTTGGATCTCTCCTTTGTCTGTCACACCCAAGGTCTTTACGTTTCTGCTAATGAGTTGATGATCGGATTTAGTTGTGTTTGGTAAAGGAGACATGAAAAATTGTGCAGAGCTAGTGAAACAATGACTTAGATCAAATATAGTCTGAATAATACAGTTTTTTTTGCAGTTTGTGACTTTTCTTTTTATTCATGCTTTTAAACTGCATCATTGATCTCTGCTCCAACTGCTTTTGACGCTGTACAATAAAACTTTATTAACTTTTTAGTAGTTTAAACTATATATTGTCTGAGTTGGTTGTATAAATGATGGTGCATAAAGCAGATATTGAGCTGCCAGTACTTTTTCTGTTATTTTACAGATTTATTTCTTGCAGATGCTGATTAAAATATAGACAAAAGTATACTGTTTTTATTGTTTTTAACGGTTTGTGACAAGGCAAGCAGACATGGTCTAGTGAACATGTGGCTTTAATAGGTAAAATGGTCAGACTGTAATTTACTTACATCATACTTTTTATGGCACAGTAAGCATGTGATGTTGACAAAGGAATGCACAAATGTGCTTTCAATTGATACATCGCTGTGCTCTGTTATCAGGGCACTCGTGACATCTTTGTGGATTGTTACCTCAGTGGGATGCATGATTTATTCTCACCGGCTTGGATTTTGAGAGAGGCGCTCTGTGATTTACTAGAACATGCTGGAATCTGCTGTAAATGTCCAGATGAAGCAGATGCTGCTACAATCAGTTATACGTTGACTTTTCCTTTGTTTTATGAGCTGCGTATTTAATAGTCAGTATAAAGAGGAGAAAGGCAACAGGACATGTCCAAATTCAGTGTCTGCGTAACATCTTCTCTACGTTTTAAGGCGCACAGATGCATCGTGTCCTTGATATTCCAAAATCAAGTGAAAAGTTTGTGGAAACAGTAAATCAGGCTTTAGAGCGATATAGCAGTATAATATTAATTATGTAATAGCTGTGTAAAGCTACTGGGTGGACAAATCAAACTACATAATTAAGAAAACAATATATATATATATTGTATATGTATATATAACAACATGCTTAACGGTAAATATCAAAAACTGAAGTGAATAATACAGGTAGAAATAAAACAAAACAGTTGTATGGAATGTCAACAATGACAGTAATGTAATGATAGTAATAATGGCAGTAAAAAATGACAACAACAATAATAAAAATGTAAAGACAGCAATAATGACAATAAAAAGACAACAATTATAAAATAATAAAACTACCAACAACTACTACTGCATCAACTGCTACTGTTACAGCAACTACTTGTGCTACTACTACAACAACAACTACTACTACTACTACTACTGTTACTACGACTGCTACTACTACAACAACTATTACTACTACCACTACTACTACAATGACCACTACTACAACTACTACTACTGTTACTACGACTACTACTACAATTATTACTACAGGGTGTTCGTGGGGTCTTAAAAAGTATTAAAAGTTGATAAATCAATTATGAGAAAATGAAGGCCCTTAAAAGTTATTAAAAAGTCTTAAGCCTCCTTTCTACTGCATATGACAAACGATAAGCAACAGACCGGAAGTCATTAATTTCCAATGCAGAGTAATCCGGGAGCTGCTTGGAGTTCCGATCATCTCCGTATGTGGAAACTTTGGAATCAAATTGAGCTGCGAATCCGTTGAAATTAACTTCTTTGACTAGACCGTATGCAACCGGCTGACCGGATGTGATGTATTTCAGTATTTTCCAAGAATGTCTGTGCACGCGAGATGAGAAAAAGTTATTTAATTGGTTATTGTTTATATCAGAAAAAGTCTATATTAAAAAAAATATATCTATTTATTAATAAGTAATAAATTTTTTTTTTATATGTTGTCTCCACATTCCCTCCTGAATTTTTAGCGGTCTATGAGTTTCTAATACTTATTAATTTAACCATGGTGAATGCACGGCGAATAAAGGCTCTTGCTTTTACACTCCTTTTTTTGGGCTACTGTGAGAACTGCTTCTCTCCCATGGTGCACAACAGTACTGAAAATTCTGTGCGACTGCCACAAGGGGGCGTATTCCGACAGTAGTGTCCAAATGTCATGTGCAGTGGAAAGGGGGCTTTAATTGTGTTTTTACGAGGTCTTAAATTTTGTTCAAGCATTGTCCAAAGTGGTTGACTCCAAAAAAGCATAAATATATTTATTTTCCTATAAATATATTAACAACTTCGTGCTCGATCCACACGATTGGTTCGGGCCGGAGCGCGACTGGCCAAGCTCACATGTCACATCATTTGCGACAAACGTGGGAAGGTGATGTGACACTCTCCACATTTAGCGAAACCATAGAGCGAAACAGATGGTAAAATAGGAAAATTAAGCTGAAAACAATAGTGTAATTTTTTCTTTTAAGCTTTGTTTCTTTCAAGCTTATCTGAATTCTGTTGCATGGTTGTGCTCCATTGATTTATTTAACTACAATTGTTTATTAAGCTAAATATTTGACACTGATTGGTACTTGAAATGGCAATGAGGTCTTAAAATATTCTGAGAAGGTTTTTAAAAAGTCTTAAAAAGCTATTGAAATTACCTTTATAATTCCTGCAAATACCCTATACTACTTTTACCACAACAACTACAACGACCACTATCACTACTACAACAACCATTACTACAACCATTATTGCTACTACTACTACTACTACTACTACTGTTACTATGATGACCACTACAACAACACTTGTTACTACTACCACTACTACTACTACAATGACCACTTCTACTACTACAAAGACCATTACTACAACGACTTTTACTACAACAATTATTACCACTATCTCTACTACTACAATGACTATTAATACAACAACAACTACTACTACTGTTACTACAATGACTACTACTACAACAATTATTACTACTTCCACTACTATCACAACGACCATTACTACTACACTGACTATTAATACAACAACATCAACTACTACTACTGTTACTACAACGACTACTACTACAACAATTATTACTACTTCCACTACTATCACAACGACCATTACTACTACACTGACTATTACTACAACCACAGCAACAACAACAACAACTACTACTACTGTTACTACAACTACTGTTTCTACAACTACTACTATTGTTAGTAGTAATAGTTGTAGTAGTGGTGGTGGTGGTGGTTGTTGTTGTAATAGTAGAAGTGGTTGTTGTAGTAGTGGTGGTCGTTGTAGTGGTAGTAGTAATAATTGCCATAGCAGTAATAACAAATACATTTTTGTTGGTTCTCGAAGGGAGCATGTCTACGTGTTTTGCCATTGCACTTTAGATGTTCTAAGTTTGAGTTCGATTAAAAAAATAAATTAAAAAACGGTATTTATATATTTTTTGTCGCATTGTCTTTTTCCACAGGAATCAATATGCTGCAGGGTAATTAAAAATACTGCCCAAACCATTTTGTTATTTTTGCTATTCATACCCTGGTTTACTCATTGAATTTAAATTATAATTGTTTCCCTATTTGTAAAAAAATACATAATTTCTGATGTTTGTTAAAAAAATGTACAAATTATGTTTATTAAAAAGTGTTGAATAATTTTGTCTGCATAATCTTAATATCACAGGTTAAGATTTTTTGTTTATATTTGTCTTGATTATACAATGTTGTGGGATCTGTGTGTAGCATGTATCTGAGCTTGTGACCTCTTTCAACTGTATTTTGCAGGCATCTTGTATACTGCCTCTGGGATCTGCTAATCGAGTTTCTCGTCCCCGAGGCCTCAGATGAGGACTTTCAAAAAACACTTCTTCACAGCCTGTCCAAAAACGCAGAGAGGCTTCCACCATAAGTGTGCTGGGCTGGATGGACACAAACACACGTGCATACACGCCCACATTCATAGCATATCCAGATTTGTGGCCAGTGCTAAATGTAAATACAGGAATGTGTGATCAAGTAAGTGTAGATTTGGATTCAGTCAGTGCCTGGCTCCAATTTGGTTTCTATGTTTCTGGGACACACTTCCGGGCAAACACTGATAAATAGCCACCTGTTTTGTGTTTTATCAAACCACAAGTCCAATCTCTAAAGCTCAACATACCGGATCTGAATTAGTTGCAAGTTCTCTAACTTTTATCCACCTTGTTCCTACTTGAGCTCTGGGCAAAGCTCTTACATATGGAGACGTTTCCGTGGCGTCCATTCACGTGTTTCCGGCCTTTCAGTCTCGATGTGCTTTGAGTTTACACACATTCCCTCCTTAATCACATTGATACACTTGATCATTTTGCTTCAGGTCTTCTTTAGAGATTCTGTAAACACTCTCTCAGTCTTATCTCTCCTGCCTTCCAAGAAGGAACGCCAATCTTTTCATCATATTCCTCTTAAAGAATGAAAGTTTTTTTCACATCTGCTTCTGGTGTCACAGGAATGCTGTACGTGCTTTGTGTGCTTTCAAAGTCTTTAAACTTGATGTCTCTCTTCACAAACACTGATTAAATGGTTAGATGACCACATAAAGCCTACGAGGAAAACAAGGTTATGTTGATTAACCAAAAATGGCCAGTTTTCAGAATCCTTGTCTTAATATTTATGAAGTATGTGTACATGTTATCTGAAAGGGATAGTTCTCACAAGAGTGACAAATATTTTTTTTTCGTTTTGTTCCAGACATGTGTTGTTTTTTCTGAGAAAGATGAAAAAATTCTAAAGGAACACTCCTTTTTTGGAAATAGGCTTATTTTACAAGTCCCCTACTATTAAACTGTTGAGTTTTACCAGTTTTAAATCCTTTCTGGCGATCTTCGGGTCACAGGAGCACTTTCAGCTTAGCATAAATCATTAAGTCAAACTTTTCATATTTTGTCTGTCTTAGTTCATGTCCTAGAATCAAGCTTTACACAAGCAAATCATAGAAACTCTTATTTGATTTTTTTTTTGTAAGATGCTAATGGTCTAATCTGATTTTGTGATTTATGCTAAGCTAAACTAAAAGTACTTCAGCTGAATGGACTAGTAAAACTCAGCTGTTAAACTCCAGGGGATTTGTAAAATTAGCAATAATGTTGCAATTGTGAAATTAGTATTGAATATTCTTTTAAAATGCCTTATAAATTGCGGAAAGGCATACTGGCTTGGAACAACATGCGGGTAAATAATGGCATTAAACTATCCATTTATTAAAACGTACATCTTTTTAAATGTACAAAACAATGCCGCAGACTGAGTTCTAACAACAAATAGAAGAGAATAAGAGTACACTTGGTTTGTGGTTTACATAATTTCTTAGAAGTCTAGCACAAAAAAGATGTCTTAATCACCTTAAAGTGTTAATGATTTTTAGTAAAAAAACAAAAAACCCAGTAACAAATGGATGCTTGTGAAACTTTTTTGTCAGTCTGAAAAACCCTTTTAAATGGATTGTTCTCCAAAAATGGTAAGTTACTCAATATATAGTTTTTTTTCTTTTAAAGAACATGTGCTGAAACTGTGTAGACCACAGTCACTTATGAAAATCCAAACTGTAGCTGGATTTTGAGGGTCAAAAAACTAAGACAGGCAAAATAAATACCTTTTTTTCCTGAGGATACATTTAAGATCTTAAGACCAAGGAAACATTAAGACCAAGACTTTGTTGTTTTTTGTAGTAAATCACCAAGGACCAAGTCTTCTTTAATTTTCTTCTAAAAAAACTCAACGACTTCATTGATTTCCTTAAGATGAGTAAATTTACAGCTATTGTTTGTTTTTAAGGCATATTGTCCAATTAATGTGTTACTAATCTTTTCATAACTTAAAAGTATTTCTGTCAGTTTTTGTTTTATTAGCACTGTGTCATCTAGTCAACATTCTGTTTGCACTACCTGGTGTGAGCCTGGATTCGATGCATGCAGATTTAGTTTCTGCACTGTGAGCCCTGTTACACTAAGTATGCACTGCAATGGCTTCATAGTGTTGTCATTACACTGTACTTTTGCTTAATGCGCTGAATGTTGCACTATTTGTAATTTTGTAAGTGATATATATATATCTATTGTTGGCCTTATGTTGTTCTGATGTCTGTTGAAATTAGAGAGTAAAGCAGTCAATGTCATTGAATTAAGTGGAGATGTATTGCAGAGACAATATCACTTCTTTATAAAATGCTTTCAGGTTTGGTTAGCATGTTACATTTGTTAGTAGTAGCGTATTCAGACTTAATTGTGATCCAGGTTATATTTAAAACCGTAAAACAGCTGGAACCAAAAACAAAGATATATTAAATTAGGGCTGGGCAATATGGCAAAAGTGCAATCTCCATAATTAATTTCCATATTAAATGATAACAATATAGATTTTGATATAAGTTAATGCTTCCAGATTTTAAAGAGTATCCCAACGATGACTGAAGCCACAAAAATTAGAGCATCCATTAAATGGCTTAACATTTTCGGCTGATAAATTTTCTTTGGCCGAAAATTTGAAACATCTTGAATGTATCAAATTCGATACATCTCAAAAATTCGATACATCTTGAATCATACATCTCGGTGGGCGAAAATTCGATATCAACTCATTCAATGTCCCATTGTTGCACATTTCTGCTGATTAATTGGCTCTTAGATCAATATAGAGTAAAAAAGTCCAGAGCTTATCGTTGTTATTGACATAAATTTTATTGCAATTATAATATCGTTTATCGGCCCAGCCCTATATTAAATGATGCAAACAAATCTACCAAAACATGAAAAAAAAAACTATTCTCACTTGTTAACATAGACCCGAATATAATGTTTAGCTCACAATTAGTGCAAAATAGAAAATAATGCTTTGACAGAATGATTGAATGAGAAGAAGCCTAATACTATTGACAACGTGGATACTTTTGGTTTACAAAATAGTTTTTGCAGCAATGTGATCTTCGTTTGTCAGCATTCATGAGCTTCACATGATAAATATTAACATGTTGTGTTGTGAATAGCTAAAGCTGGGTGATGTATGATTTAAAACGGGACTCCTCGACTAAAATGATGTAATGAAATAACAAAAATTATATAATTTTTAGGCAAGCCATTTGAATGAATTAGGTAGCACTTAAGTATGAAACCCTACTGTGATTTACTGTTTCTTCATTGACACGCTGTTACATTAATATACCTGTCAATCTGTTTTTCATTCCATCAAGTTAATAAATTTTTCCGTTATTAAAGTCAAAACATGGGTTTGCCGTCTTGCTAAATCACGTGGTCTGTTGAAAAGAACCAGAGGAAGAGTTTGCCAAAACACATCACTTTCTAAATCCTTCTTATGCTAAATAATACTGCACTGCTGTTCCACTATATGAGATTACAAGCGTCGAGATCTTGGAGCTAAACGTCCAGATTTCCTAGAATTTTGTGGAAAACAAAATCTCTAAACCTTTGTTCAAAGTTTTTGGCCTTGGAAAAGAAAGGTCTTTCTCCAAAATCAACAGAAATGGATTAAGAAAGAGATGGAGGATTATTGAAATGAGATCAAGTATCTGGGACTAATTTTGGAGGCAGACAAAATGAGCTTGGCAAGCTGGCGAGTCTTCAGAGTGTGCAGTCATGACCCTTTACCTTAGAAATCACTGATCTCTGTCAAAACACAGATCACTGATTAGATGAGAAGCATCTGGAGCTAATATTGTTTCTTTTGCCACTCAATTCAGAGTGACTGTCTATTGTTCTGTATCGATCTGTAGAAGATTGATCAAAAGTTTCTATCTGTCTGTCTTTCCCTCTGTATTGTCTGTCCATCTGTCTTGCCTGTTTGTTTGTCTGTCTGTTTCTTTCCGTCTGTTTATCCATCCGTCTGTCTTTGCATCTTTCTTTCCCTTTGGCTGTCCATCTTTCCGTATATCTGTCCATCCGTCTGTCTTCACATCTGTCCGTTTTACTGTCCATCTGTCTTTACATCTTTTTGTATATCTGTCCATCTGTCTGGCTTTCTGTGTGTTTGTTCATCCGTCTTTCCATCTGTACTGTCTATCCATCTGTCTCGTCTGTCTGTCTTTTCGTCTTTTAGTCCATCTGTCTGTCTATCTGTTTTCTGTCTGTCTTTCCATCTGTCTGTTTATCCATTTGTCTGTCTTTACATGTTAGGCATGTGTCTTTTGCTCTAACTGTCCATCTGTCTGTCCATCTTTCTGTATGATGTCCTTTTGTACATCCATCTGTCTTTCCCTCTGTTTATTCATATGCCTTTCTTTCTGTCTGTCTCTTCATCTGTCTTGTCTGTCTGTCTGTCTATTTCCATCTGCCTGATGTCTGTTTTTCCAGCTGTCTGTTAATCCATCCTCCTGTCTTTACATCTGTTTGCACGTCTGTCTTTCCCTCTGTCTGTCCACCTGTCTGTCCATCTTTTTTGTCTGTCCTTACTTCTGTCTTGTCTTGTCTGTTTGTCAAAATGTCCATTTGTCTGTCCATCTTTCCATATATCTGTTTGTTCTTTTGTTTGTCCATCTGTCTGTCTTTCCATCTGTTTGTTCTTCTGTCTCTGTCTTGTCTGTCTGTCCGTCTGTCTGTCTTTCTCTTTCCATCTGCCCATTTTTCTGTCTTTCCATCTGTCTGTTCATCCATCCGCCTGTCTTTACATCTGTTCGTCCATCTGACTTTTCCTCTGACTGTCCATCCGTCTATCCATCTTTCTGTATACATGTCTGTCTTTCTGTCTGTTTGCACATTTCTTTCCCTCTGTCTGTCCGCCTGTCTGTCCATCTATTTTAGTCTGTCTTTCCATCTTTCTTGTCTGTCCGTCTGTCTGTCTTTCTAGTTCCATCTGTCCATTTGTCTGTCTTTCCATCTGTCCGTTCATCCATCCGTTTGTCTTTATATCTGTTTGTCCATCTCTTTCCCTCTGACTGTCTTTCTGTCTGTTTACACGTATGTCTTTCCCTCTTTTTGTCCGCCTGTCTGTCCATCTGTTTTTCTGTCTTTACATCTGTCTTGTCTTTACATCTGTCTGTTTACATCTGTTTTGTCTGACTGTCCATCTTTCTGTCTGTCCTTTTGTTTGTCCGTCTGTCTGTGTTTCTATGTCTTGTCTGTCTGTTTGTCTATCTGTCTCTTTCTATCTGTCCATTTGTCTGGGTTTCCATCTGTCTGTTCATTCCTCCGTCTGTCCTTACATCTGTTTATCTGTCTGTCTTTCCATATATTTGTTTGCATGTCCGTCTGTCTGTCTGTCTTTCTGTTATGTTTGTACATCTGTCTTTCCCCGTCTGTCTTTTTTCCGCCTGTCTTTCCATCTGTTTTGTCCGTCTCTTCATCTATCTATCCATCTGTCTTGTCTGTCTATCTGTTTCTTTCCATCTGTTCATATGTCTGTCTTTCTATCGGTCTGTCTGCTTTTCCATCCTGTCTGTTCATCCATTTGTCCGCTTGTCCACCTGTCTGTCCATTTGTTTTCTGTTTGTCTGTCTCTATATCTTGTCTTTCCATTTGTCTGTCTTCATCTGTCTTTTCTGTGTCCATATTTCCGTTTGTCTTCCCTTCTGTCTGATTCTTTCTTGTCTGTCTTTCCATCTGTCTTTAAATCTTCAGTATATTGCAAATAATTGTGTCTTTGAATACAGTTCAAAACATGGAAAAGGAAACCCATTAAACTTTCAACATGTATGACATCATTCGCTGTATAGACAGCAGATATAATGATAAAATTACTGTATGTAGCTATTACATGCTTATAGTATCCGAAATGTCTTTTGCTGTCTAACACTGAGTGCCACTGGCTCACTTGATGACAAGCTGAAAAAAAAACAGGTCAAAAGGACTCTTAATAGGACATTGGCACTACACAGAAATAACTTAGCTCGAAATAACAGAAATAAAAACCTGACCTCACACAAATGGAATTTTAAAAGATTAATTATTCTTTCACGTCTTTATTCGGGAGCTAGTCACATGAAAAAAAAAAACGTAAAACAAAAAAAAGATCGGGGCTCTTAAATTCAAGTAAATAAATTGGGCAACCCCATAGTTCAAAGGCTTGTGTTTATATTACTTTTAAATGTCTTTTAAATGTATTTACAGCAAGCCTAAATGACATGTAAATAGAGCAATTTACTCATCATACAAACAATAGACTTGGTATCTTAATTACTTTGTTTACAAAAACCCTAAATCATGTTCTTTTGACCTGTTCGCTATGTTGAAATGTGTTTATATGCCAGTACATCCCCACAAGCGGTTTCTGCAAATAGTGCAGAGCAGTAATATGGTGGTGTTAGACCACAGAACACAGGAATGTTTCCTTAGGTGCTGCAGACCTGGAACTGCTCACATTAGTCTTAGTCATCAGTGACGTCTAGCTCAATAGAAGAAGCACATCTGTCATGAGGACCACCTTGTCAATATCCACAAAGCTACATGAAAAACTATGCACAAGTGTTTCTAGGACAAAACAGTTTTAAGAATACCTGCCAACATTCCAGTTTTTCCCATAGTGTCTCCCGTCCCGTATTTCACACACATCTTCCGCCACCCTCCTGTTTTGATATTTCTCCTAGGAAACTCCAGTAATTTGTATGGCTCAATCTAGTTATAAAAAAGTGCACAAAAGCATGCACATCAATCTAAAATGGGCACTTAGCCAAACAACAAGGACAAAAAAATATACATAAACAAC